CGGAGAGGGGGCGCGGATTCCGGAAGTCCGCGGACGTCAGACCCAGGCCCCGCCTCCTCACCACCCGGAAGTCCCTCCCAGAAGCCAAGGTCGCTTGCGGCGGGCTGCCGCCTCGCTCGCCTCCTGCTCCGTACCTCTGAGTCGCTCGAACTTCCGCAGCTTGCGCTGGGTGGCCTCGCGCAGCGCCGTGTCGGGCCCGGCCTCTGCAGCCGCCATGAGCGTCGCGCTGCTGGGGATGTGGAACGAGGCGGGGCTGCCGGGGGTAGCACGCTTGCGCGGCTTTTACTGGTCGGTCCCGCCCCCTCGAGCGATGCCCCGCCTCCGCCCGCGCGATTCGCCGTCTGGCGAAGCCCCGCCCCTTCCTCATCCTCCGCCAGAGGGTTGGTGGACGGAGGCGCATGCGCAGACGCAGGGCGGGTGTCCATAGCAACCAGGGACGCCGGCCAGCCTGGCAGTTGCCGTAGGTGGCTCTGAGTTGGTGCCGACTACCCGGCCGCTCTTTTCCACTGTCCGCGGCCCTGCAGCCCGGCTGCGCCTGCCAGCCTGGTGGGTGGGCTTTGGGGTGACCCCGTCTGAGCCTTAGGTCCAGAAGAGTAAGTTTGCGTAGCCCCCCAAGAGCCCCTAAAGCAAATTGCCTCCCCAACTGACGTTTCTGTAGCACTTTAAAGTTCTCGAAGCGCTTTCCGTCACTTGGCCCACAGCGCTTGGCATGCAGTAGATGTTTAATAAAGGCATATTCGCTGTTTAAACTCATTTGATCCAGTAACCCTCTGAGGTAGCCGCTATTCATGACCATTTTACAGATGAGGACACTGAGGCTTAGGATGTCTGGCACATACTAAGTGATTAATACATAATTATTCAGGCAGCTAGGCTGTGTGATACCTAGAGCACTGGATCTGGAGTCACAAAGACCCCAGTTCAAATCCAGCCCCAGACACTTCCTATCTGTTTGGACCTGGGAAAATCACTTCATCCCTGTTTGCCTCAGTTTCCACATCTGTA